GTTTTGACGTTTGTATTGAACACAATGAAGTTATTGTTGACTGACAGCTATTTTGAGGTACAGATGTTTATTTAACTGAAAAAAATGTTATCCCTGCTCTACGCATCAGATCTCTCTTATTGATCAATGATATTGACCAAAAATGTAGAAGCTTCTAACTTCTCCAAAGCTTCTTCATCAATCGGTATTGATTAGCGCTCTTCGTATTGTAAATTGAAATCGTACATTTTCCTTGATGAATACTGAGACCTACTGTTGCTGCTATACTGGTCTTTTTCACTTTCATTTTTGACTTTGTCAGATGGTAGACCTAGGTCATCATCGAACTCCAAATCAGTTAGCTTCATGTGGCCTGAACCACCACAATCATCCACCTGAGCCACAAATCTTCTCCACTATCTCAAAGCTGAACCTCTGTCTTTTTATGCTTCCCTTGAAATGTCAGAGTCTTCATCATTCAGTCAATCATCAGGGGAGAGATTGACACAGTGGTAGTAAGCACCTTTGTTTAACACAACTCTATATTTGAAACCTCTCTATCGGCAACTATCTTCAGCACAACTTTTCAGTGTAGTTGGTCATAAGAATTCGGCATGATAGGGACTCAAACCAGATGAAAAAAGGTCATTTTGTTTAATCAGAGACGTTTTAATTATGAAATCCGCTTCGATAAATAAAAGTAGACAGTTAAAATTGAGTTACTGAGGCGATGAATGAATATAGACAGTTGCGCAATTGATCGGTGAACATATTTCTCGCAGAATATATATGTATATATTTATTTAACACTGATCAAAATAAAACATTTTGCTAATAGACAGTCGATGACAGTGATTTCAACTATTCTACTTACCAAACATATTATACTTTCAGTTGAATTAAAAAATCTCCTCAACTTATACATATATAAACATTATATGAACTGTTCAATGTCATATTGAACACTAGAAGGAAATTTGTTGTGGTTTAATGACAGTTGTACACAGTAAACACTGTTTGAATTTCTTTTTTCTAAAATTAAATGTTCAATACATTTTATAATTAGAATTATTGACAATTGAAAATAGTGATTTAAACAAGTTGAATTGATAAATAAAAGTTGATTGTAAGTTGTGTAATATATATATATATATATATGTTTATACTCATTGCCAGTTGAACATAGTCAGTCAGTCAGTCAGTCAGTCAGTCAGTTACAACGTAAAACTTTGTACATGAGTACATAAGTTCAGGTTGCCTTACCGCATTCTGAAGGATTTGGACTGAACGCCTGTAAGGTCTGAATCCTGTCGCCTTTTAGTGTAGGTAAATTAAAATAATGGTTTGAGGACTTGTACTCTATCATTATGGTAGTAGCAAATACCTTGAAACGGATGTACTTTTCCAGCTTTCTTGAAAGCGGCCCCAGACGACTTGTTTGGGGAAGCAGCTGTATCGATCCTGGACTATTGACGCTAACCTTATGTGGTTATCCCGAACACTCTGTATCTTGGTGTAGTGTCAGCTGGCGTCAAGGCCCTTTAGTTGGGTTATGGGATCCTGAGCTGAAAGGACACTTGATCGCACATGATGTCTGCCCACTTATGCTGAGGGATTAACCCTGCTTGGCCGAGTGCTTACGTTTGGTCGAGTCCATGACATCTACCCAGTGAGGGGGGTGAACGTGCAGATTGACCTTGTAGGACAAAGTAGAGTTTTGGCTCCATGTGGGGTTTTGAGGGCTCAGCGCAAGGCAGTTAGAGACCAGACAGTTGGAACGGCTGATTGCTAGTGCACTGCTTGGTGGCTTGGTAACCCGTGTTGAGTTCCAGATTCAGCTGGGCAAACCCGCCTTGCTGCCTATGCCGATTTGGGACTGGGGTTAGTGGATTGGTTGGAAGGGTCGAGCTGATTCATAGGCACCTACGTGTGGGTGGTGATGTTCGGATTTCCGATTTGCTTGCAGGAAAATCTGGAGAACATATGCGTTCCCGTATGGCGCAAGGGTGATCATGAACCGGCATTCGTGAGAATCGTTTTGTTGCCTAAAACGCAGCGGTGTGCATGTGCCGCCGGCTTGTATGTTAATCAAGACAAACACACTGACTCAAACATTAAAAAACACTTATGATTCAGTGTAAAATCTATGTCAAATGGTAAAAAGTAAACAATGTATTACGTAAAGCATTCTAATAAATTTGTTCGAATCGTTACAATTGTGATATGTGTTAGTGTATAGAATTATTAATAGCTTGGGAGGATGCTACTCACAACTTGGCTTGTAAGTAGTATAGAGTTCAGTATTGCTTAGAAGTTACTGCAGAAGTCTGTATTAGTAAAACAATATGATTCACTTACATTGATGAAGTCATCAAACTGATCAATGCTAGACTAACGTTTGAAACCTAAATGGCCGTTTCGTTCTGCTATGGGTTTCATCAGCGGTTCGCACTCATGACCCTACATACGATAATCGAATCCAAGATTTCTGTCACGCATGAGAACTCTTAGACTCTAGAACACTTGAGCTGGCATCCCATGCTGTTAAAAATCGAACTCAATTTCGATGCACCAAATTACTTGACGATCATTTTCTGTCTTATTTAGATCCGATTCCCGCCTCATGGGGTCATATCACAGGTGAGCCCTGTCACTGATGATTCCATAAATGGGACGAAACGGCCAGTGATGGTCCAACATTGACTGATTCATATTTTTAATGAAACTCAACATTCAAAACATGTTTCCTCGTTAGCGTATTTTTAATGAGTTCGTTTCTTTGCAGGATGGGGTTGCCAACCCCATGCCCGACCGTCCTCCTTTATCCGTGCTTGAGACCGGCAGTAGCTTCAGAGGGACTCCAGGTGGAGGAAACTGGTCGGCGGCCTATGCTAGGGGTAACAGGCGTGAGTAAGTAAGTAGAACATTCTCAACAACCCTAACCTGACAATTCACCGACCTAATTTAGTTAGTTCTAGTTTAGAACTGTCTCAGAAATGAGTATTCAAATGACTTAGGCAGAAATCAAACCTAAGAATGGTAGATTTCAAAGCAATCCGAACACCTCCACACCAGTGAATAGGAAAGTAATCTATATCTAAAGATTTTAATTACTATTATAATAGTGGATACTTTCTTGAAGCACAACGTCGGAGCTGTTCCGTGTTATCATCAAGTTTGACAATAGTTCATTCTATAAAAGTTAACTTTTGTTGAATACCCATTTCATACTGCAAAACAGTTTATTCAATTAAACTAAGTTATGGTCTAAAGGCATGGCGTTTTCAGTTTTAGACTATTGGTCCGAAGTTTGACTGCATTGTGCAGATGTTTGGAATGTATATGCTGCCGTAAAGTTTCGCAGGTGTCGCCAAAGCATTGCTCATGTATCCTAGAACAACCGAGTAAGCGATGTTATCGTTCGGAAACGGGTACTAGGTAAGGATGACAGATCAATAGATGAAGTAGTGAAACTTCATCAGTTGAGGTGGTTGGGACATGCTTTAAGTATGTGTAACCCCTGACTGTCTCGTCGAGCTGTGTTTTGCGATGTAGGAATAGGTTGGAAGAAAGCTAGGGGTGGCCAAACCAAAACATGGCAGAAATGAATGAAGTCACTGATAGCTGGTAAATGTAAACTACCTGGTTGTGGCCTGCGAGATGATAGTAATCGATGGTTCGAGACCCTGAATGACATGGCTCAAAACCGTTTGCAATTGTACAGGTGCATTCATTTTTTGTGCTCTCTCAAATTCTAGTTTTCTAAATTCCTCATTACATTCATTTTTTTCTCTATAAGTTTACTTCTTGAATAGTATCGTCCAAACTGTCATTCAATAACTCCAAATTTCTAATGATAATCTAGCTTAGATCAATTCATGATTTCAACAATGAGAAAGTCAACTGTTGAATGAATTTATCAACAATCAGAAAAAAAAACTCAACAACAATGGATCTATTCTCACTTTGTTCGCATATTCCATCTACCTAACAAAGAATGGTTACTCTAGTTGTCAAAAGATGCCTCAGCCTCATTAATTCCGAAGGAACTCAGTATTCATCATGAGACGTCATACCTATTCTGAATGAAGAGTTGAATTATTTTTTTTTTCTGGTTAGCGTTTTTTCAAAACAAAATTAGTTTTCTACGCGATAAGGCAGCCAACTTTATGCCCAAGCCTTCTCCTTTATCCAAACTACAGACTGGCACTAATCCCAGAAGCATTCCAAACGGAGTTGGCCATCCAATACTCGTGATCTAGCACCAGAGATCGATCGATCTGTAAAATAAGTACCCACTTATAATAATAAAAATTAATAATTTACATATACTTATGCATATATATATCTGTATATACAAGTATGAGTATACATGTACACTTACTTACTTACTTACTTACTTTTACATACTAATTCTATTCCATACTATTATTAAGTTTAAACTATTAAAAACTCAGAAATTTCATTGGTTAATTCACTTCAATTACTGACACACGTTATATACATATAGAGAGATAGATCTACATTGGAGCATATTAATTATGAGTTATACGACAATAACAACAACAACATTATCGACCTTTCCGTGTATGATCATGTGACTACCACCAATGGCGTCTTACTCTATCTTTAATTCAAGAAAAATCATTTGCTGTTATATGAATTAATGTTTTTATTTTTCTAGGTGTTTCACTCTCACACGCACATTTTTATGTTTCACAATTCCATTTGCCATAAACACATTTCGGAGGATAAAAACTGTTATTGTCGGCGGTGTTGTTGATGTTCGTGTTCATGTTGTTACATGTGTGTCAAAGTTCAATAAAAAAACTCACTCTGATTGATCATTGTAAACAAACAGTTGTGTTGTTTTAACTAATCAAACTAAATTTTAAAAAAAGCGGGATTTTTAAAAGGAAGGCGGGAATTGTTTCAATTTAAACAAGGAGTATATTTATTTATTATTTTTTTTGATAAAAAAATATTGAATCATACAACATTTATTCTTCGAAGTGTCAATCATGTCAAGTTGGCAACGTCTTTCTGGATATTTAAATTGTAAACCAACTGGACGTAAGTTTCCCAATTTGTTGTAGATTTTTTAAAATTTTACTGAATAATAATAATAATAATTATTATTATAATCATGGTAGTTTAAATTACTGAGGTCAAGAGGATAAACATCTTATCAATGTTCAGTACTAAGATGTACAAAGTTGAAGTGATAGGTTGAAAAACGTTTCATATTCAAGCCTGGATAGATAGAGTTATACGATTAACACAGATAATAATTAACGTGTCAAAATAAAATAGATAGAACTAACTTGTTCAAAAGCAAAACGACTAGCCTAAATATTTCGCAACTGGAGTCATAGGGTTGGAACATTGATAGGCCACCATTAGAAACCTGGAAGAAGTGCTGGACGGTCGTTTCGTCCTAATATGGGACTCATCAGTAGCAGTGCGTATCCACGACTCCTGCATCTCGCAGAATTCGAACCAAGGACTTTCGGTCTTGTGCGCGAACGCCTAACCGCTGGGCCGACATCCAACGGTGTCTAACTCTGATCAAACTAGGGATTTTGCGCGACTTCACCAATTTGTCTCTGGTAGTTATTGCCTAAACAGAGTATTGAAGACAATTATCAATTGTGTAGTTCTTTTAAAATAGATTTTTATGAGATCAAACTTCAAATCATGTATGATATGCTTACGCGCGCGCGCATACACACACACACTTACACATTGAATATTTTTTATGAAATTCCTTTGACTTACTAATTATATAATCAATGTACTATGTGTAACAGTAAAATGACATGTAATCATTTTAATGAATAGTAATTTTAAAAAAAATTGAACTTGTGAAGGAATATTTGTCAAATATTTATGCTGATACATACATGTTTATATCTATCTGTCTATCTATCTATCATGATATGATTATCGACCGATAAGTTGGGTGTTTTGCATTGGAAATATTTTACTAAATATTGAGTTAGACCACTGAGCCGGTATCTAACGGTGTTAATGCCTAACTTGATCAAATTCACGGGATTGCACAACCTCATACACAGTCTTCGGTAGACACTGCCTACACCCGAACAGGTTGTACTTCACTGGTCACGTCTTCCCCTCAGTAGAACTCGGAAAAGATTCCTCACGAAGCGCTAGTCACTAGTGAGCACAGGTAATTTGCGCACAATACTGAAGGTCCTGGGTTCAAATCCTGCGGGGTGCAGTAGTCATGGATGCGCACTGCCACTGATGAGTTCCATACCAGGACGAAACGGCCGTCCACTGCTTCTCGCAGGTTTCTTCTAATGGTGGTCTAACATTGATCGATTCATGGTTTCAAAAATGTGTAACTTTTAACAATCTTCACAACCCCGTAATGTAAATATTGAGTGTTAATTTTTCAAAGTTCCCATGAACTTTGAAAATTATTTATAATAGGTCAATAATCACACAAAATATTCCCTCATTGATTGTAGAATTCGAGATATATAGCGGTAACATCTTAGAGCTAATGTTCGCTGGAAGAAGTGAAGCCAATGTCATATGTTGGTAACTGTTTTTTACGTAATATCCACTTAATAACACTCCTGAGTCCAAGTATTCATTGACTTGGACAATAGTTATGAGATTTAATTCATTCTGAAATGGTTTGAACCACGCTGTTGTTGAGATATTGACTGAAATTCTATCGGTTTTGGTTGTGACATGTGAGCGTTGTCTACGGATTGTCTTGATAAAGTCATTAAGACACAACTGCACATTGGATAGCGATAAAATGTGGTTAGTAGTGAAATCCATGACTTATCAAATTGTACTATGTAATTTTTTTCCGATCTCTTCTTTACAGTCAACCATTTATAGTGTCATTCATTCATTAATTTATAAAAAGTTGTTAGAATAATAATTGTATTGACCTAGAGAAAATGATTTTTCTCATTAAAAGTATTTACATTAAAAGGTTGTAAAGATTGTTGAGTTTAACGATGAATGTTAGACCACCTGTCCAAAACTTGAAAACATTAGACTGCCATTTTACTCTCAGTGTTAGGGTGTATCCCCAACCTCGGGCATCGGGAATCGAAGCTAGGATCTTCTGTCTGACGTGCGAACGCTTCAACTGTCAACCATTTAACTAGCATCTGAGTTCCGAATGCTCGTCTAACATTGATCAGTAATGATCCATGATTTCAGTCAAAATACTTACATCAGTTTCGATTGTTAATTAACTTTCAGATTTCTAAGGCTGATGAGTCTTACACTAGGATGAAACAACTTTCCAGTACTTCTAAAAGATTTACAATGATAGTCAAGTTAAAATCACTTGGTGTTTTCAACTGTTCAAAAAGTAGCAAAGAACACGTCATACCAACAAACTGTATACTTAACAAGAGGCGATTAAGTTACATTTCCATTCAGCTAGATAAAGTTTATGCTGACAGTTTTCGTAAATAAGTTCATCTGAACATTGTAAATTAATTTTTTGTATATCTAAATTCTCTAATTTAATAGAGAATTGTTCAGTATTCACCAACCTACTCTATTCTTACTTGACTGTCTGTCTCCATTTCACAACGTAATGTGTTCCTTGGCCTTCCTCTTTTCCTTTGACCTTGAGGTCTGTAAGTGACAGCTTGTCTTGTAATGTAGTTGGGAGATTTCCTCAAGGTATACTCTTCCTCCAATGGAATCTGGTTTGTTCTGTCCCACAGTAGGTTGTTGCTGATGGTGTGTGACCAACGATCTAAAGTATTTTGCGTAGACAACTGTTAATGAATACTTGTATCTTTTGGATATAAAAACGCTAACCCGAATTCTCGCATATATATGAGAAAAATCCAAGAATATTTACACATATCCATAGGGACTGTCGATAAATGAACAACTTCAAGGAGGTCACTAAAAAATATGCCTCAAACCAATGAAAACATGGATAATATACATTTATGCTGATGAGTCGCCTCATAGTGGGACGAAGCAGCCATCCAATACTTCCAGCTTTATGACAAGTAGTCTAACAATCATTGGTTCATGATTTCAACGAAACTCAACACTATTCACAACTAACTCTTTACTAGAAATTATTGAATAGAGTTAAATGGTTTCGTATAAGTTTGTTGTCCAATGTTCAAAAAATGCATTTAATTTTAAACAAACCTTAACGATACAACTAATTTATTTTTTAAAAGGAAAGAATGAAGATAGCAAAAGTTGACAAAATTTTAAATTTTTATACAATTAGTATAAGTTTTATTTTGGAAATTGTCTTCAAAAGACCAATGTCTTTAGTTTAGAAAATTTGTTCAAGTATTCATAATGTAAAACTCGCAAAATGTGCTCACTAATGACTAGCTTCAAGAAAAAATTTTCACGGTTCTAGTGAAAAAAACGTGACCAATAGAGTTCAATTCCGCCGGGTGTAGACAGTTACCAACCGAAGACAAGTGGGTGAGGTTTCGTGAAATCCGTTGTATGCTGACTCAGTGGTCTAGAGGTTAAGCGTTAGCCCGCGATACCGAAGGTCATTGATTTGAATCCTGCGAGTGGAGAAAGTCATGCATGAGTTCTGCCAGTGAGTTCCATACCAGGACGACAAGTCCGTCCAATGCTTACAGGTTTATTCTAATGGTGGTCTAACAATGATTTATTCACGATTTCAATTGAGGTAATCGAAGTAAAATTATTAACCTTTAGTTTTTAACCTAAAAATCAGTCGGTCATTCGCTGTTACGGGTATGACAGAGGATATCACATCCTGACTGCCCACACCGTAGAACAGCTGCGGTTGTCGCCAGAGGCATCAGCCTCGTAACTTCCGAAGGAATTCGGCTTTCATCATGAGACTTCATAAATCTTCTGAATGAAGCAGACCTCTGAACTTTCTGAGGAGAGTTTAAATGGCTTGAATTATCTTTTTTAAGGGATGGGGTCACCAACCTCATGCCCGACGCTCCTCCTTTACCCAGGATCGGGACTGGCAATAGCCTCAGAGTGGCTCCAAGAAGAGTTTACAGCTAGATATACATACTGTGACTGAACATTCACAGTTTTTCTGATATAATACGTTCTCAAACATGTTATTCAGTTGGAAGGAATTCGAATCGTTTTAACTAATTATTGAATAGTTTGTTGTGTTACTTTAGTTTGAAAACTAAAACCATGAAATAACTGTCAATCATATTTTTTCAGTTGGTTTAAAGAGATAATTTGAGACGAATCCAATGAAGTTTCATCTGTGTCGAGTTGCAGACAGATATCCATCATCGATAATGGATACTGGGTGTTGTGCAACATCTCTGGTTTGATTAAAGTTAGACATTACCAATATCGGATGCCAGTTCAGTGGTCTAGAGATTCAGTGTTTGCGAGTGACACTATAGGTCTTTTGCCTTGTACAGACGTCGTTCATGAGCGTTGCTAATGAGTCCTATTCAAGGACGAAACAGCCATTTACTTAATGCCTCCTGATTTCTAATAAAAAACTAGCTTAGATTAGGTCTTGGTTTGAACTCGTTTGATCTCGTTTCCTACATTACATACTCGAATTCCAGTGATATTATGTTTTTACTGTTTGATGCAGAAGCTTTATTATGAATCCGTTAAAATACTGATTAACAATACGTTATTCCAGTAGTACAGTCAATCAGATTTCAAATTTGATTGAAACATTTAATGTTCAAGGTCATTTGTCACTTTTTTCATTTTCCGCCATCTTTAATCCAAATACTCAACTATTCAATCACTGTAACATTTTTTGTACAAAAAAATTATTGTAAGTAAGAAATTCAACATTCTTCATGAGTATCATCCAACTTTATTGATGACTTAGTTTAATAATTTAAACAAAAATGTTGAATATTCAATTTTTAAAATTTTTGCAAAAATGGTAAACTGTTACAGATTAATTTATGAAATAACAAGGCGAGTCAATTCTTTAAAAGGTAGACTCAATTCTTCATAAGGTAGACACGAATGATGTTTCCTAGCATTTAAGTGATGGTCAGAAAATGATTATTCAAAGTTTCATTGAAATAATCGATAATTTTGACATGAATCTA